CTTACCACATTTACTACTGCTTCTACTTTATCACTCACTCACTGCCTTCAGTTTATATTTTTTTTTTTCATTTTGATGCTGTGACTGCCCTATTCTTACCAACTTAGAGAATTTGCGGTCATGAATCTTCAGAAAAGCCAAGGTTTTTGACCTTAGTCTTCGGTTATGACGGTCCTAAGAATGGTGGCAAATACTGCAAAAATATTGAAGCGGGAGATAAGTTTGAGTATCTTATGTGTGAAGACATTTTCGGATACAGCAGTCTCGTCCTTTAGTTGTAAATGCGGCGGACTGAACGCAGTTTGAAAGGGGGAATGAGAATTATCAGTACAACCTTCTACTCGCCATATAAATAAAGCACATGTGTCAAATCTTATGAAACTAGGGTAAAGGGAAGAAGAACAAGGAGACTAGAAAACAGTATTAAGATAACGGAGAGAAAGGTGGAAGACTAATTTTTAAGCAAAATAAATACCGACGCTACTGGGTTTCTGATTTTTCCGTCTTCAAGAAAAGCGTATTTATTAAGAATGGTCCTGCAACTAAGTTGTCTTAACTGAAATCAGTCACCAGTGCGTACGCACCAGATTTCATTGTGCTAAAGATGCCTGTGTCTCATCTGAGAGCTTGGAAATTTTTAAACTAAAAAGTATAATCTGCGTATTCCTGGATCCAAACATTGAATTTTCATTATTTATAAATAGTGATATGCATTGGACGCAAAGATTGCCGGCTTTTTGATGTTCGCGGGTATTATGCTTATGGTGTCTGTACCAGTGGGATAGGAAATAATACAGTTTACGAAAAAAAACATGAGTCCCACGACCTACAGACTAAACACCTTATTTGTTTGGAACTCTTCCCTCAGAGAATCTATCTTCCTCATTTGTAATTCTATCGCCAGTCGCTCTGCACCGTCATTCTGGCGATTTTTTCGAAATTTTTTTGCAAATTACCGAAAAATTATTTAATCAACACACTACAATCCTTTACCTGCACACATTTTAACTGCTGAGCCCTTTTCAAGAAACTCTTTCCCAAACCATCTATTGCCTTCCTTGCAAAGTGTTTCTTTTGCTTCTACTCCCTTATGTGCCTTCTGTCCGTTTATCTGCAGCTTTCAGTTTATTAATTTTCTTGCTGCTTTTGCATGCTGTTGCCTCAGAAACTGTTTTGGTTACTGTCTTTTCCCCACTGCAACTTCTGCTTTTTTACTGGGTGTGTATCCTGTATTCGAAACTTCTACCTTTCCCATCTTCCGCATCCCCCGTTCCCTTCCTATTCCATCTCCTTGCCATCTTTAAAACGTCTCCCTCCTCCCTTTTTTTCCTCATAAAGTCTCCTTTTCTGCCTTTCTATTTTTCGGACGGAAAGGGAGGATCGCTAAGCAAGGAAGAATATCCGCTTAATCCTTTTGTGGGAAAAGTGAGAAGGATGGCTAAGCAGGGCAAAACATCGACCGTTTTACAAGAGAAAAACGGCGGCTGTTCTTTAAACAGCAAGCAGTCAACAGAACAAAGAAGGCAACAGTATACTTCGAGGGTTTTCCCTCGAGTATTCTTTCGCAGTAATGCATGTTTAGTCTGTGTTTCTATGCATTTTGTGATACCGTTTTCCTTTCTTCGCTGCTTTCCTGGAATTTTCAGAGAAGTTATTCTCTGTTCAGATATTCAGTCAAGGTGCTTTGTAATCCAACCGGTGCTGTTTTTTTTTTTTTTATTTTTTTTTTTGAGTTGTAACAGTGGCGTACCCGGAGGGAAGAAGCAGAAAGAGGACGGGCTTGTGATTAAAACGGGACACTTCGTTTTGACAGGAAAACAGGGATTGCTCCCCTCAACAAATTGTTACATTCTCATTTTATAATTATTTTATAATATCTCTTAGCTCAACCTCGTGCATTTTTAACGTTTAAAACTTTGTTCATTACTTTTGAACTTATATTTTTCTGCTGCCACATCGGTCAAACCGTGTTTTCCGTCGATTAAATCCTTCCTCCTTCGGTTTCTGTTTCGTGACTAACTGTTCTATCTTTTCGGTTAAATTTTGCACTCCCTGCTCCCTTTTTTCCCTTGTCTTTTTGCCACTTTTTCACTTTTTTTTTAACGGATTTCTTCAGTGGAAAGAGTAATGCGCTTTTCCTAGAGGTACGCCACTAAAAACGCTTTTCTACTCTGTTTCCACTGCCGTTTTTTGGAATGTTCGATAAGCAGAAAACGAGTCGGGGCTCTTTCGAAAGTCCAGGGCGGTAGGGAAGTGACAGGCGAGAAGGAAATGTGGCATTAAAAACAGGGAGGGTTGCAGAAAATAAAGTAAAATTTTTGATATAATTTCGGCTTATTTAGCACCTCAAAAATTGCACACTAATTGCTCACCAGTAGTCCTTTTGTTAAAAAACTTCAATACGCCGGCAGATTTTTCAGTGGTTCCGTTTCCGGTGTTTTGTCTCACCAGGCAAGTTGGAGATCATTCAATCTCTTTATAAGTTTAGCTGACTGTCATCTTGCATTCAAAATTTTGAGATGAAGCTTTGGGCAAAAAACTTCCGTCGAACATTCTTCGCATCAGGAATATTATCTAATGAATTTCTGCAATGGATATTTTTCGTGCCAAATAAATTTTTGATAAGCATTAAAGGCAAAATCAGAAGCTCGCAGCATTTACACTTCCTGAGAGGTATAGACACTCGAACTAATTCCATGCGCCTACAGCAACCGCCCGCTGGCAAGACTGTCGATCTCTTTTGAAGATTTCTTGGAGGCAGCTCCGGGGGTTTCTTTGACATCCGCACTGATTATTGCTTCATGGCCAGCACTACAGACTAGTTCTTTCTCCTTAATGAACTGAACTGATAAAAGTCTTGCCTACGGAGCTTCTGAGTCAAATTTTTGTGAAGAATTAGCATCAGTTGTTTGCTGTGAATGTTGTCTTACGAGCTTCAAAAATTTTTTCATTTTTCTTTTCCTTATTTTCTGTTATTTTTTTTT